TTTTAAAGTTTTTTTAAAACTTTTTTTGGAATGTTTCCTTTTTGTTCCGTCTTTAGCCTTCTACACTAATTGGTGTTACTTAAAAATAAATAAATAAATTGAAGGTTAGGTTAAATGGAGTTCAGTGGGTGTAAAAAAACTTGAGTAAGATGCTGCATTCGGTCCCTCCTGTGATCTCTGGTTCTGCTTCTGTTACCGAGTCCACTGTCTTACGCCTTTTAGAGGCGTTTGAACTGTTAAAATTTTATGAGTGTTAAATCTTCCCTTTCAGCTCTGCAGACGACAGCAGAGCGCCTCGTATTTCCCAGATGTTTCTGCAGCTGTTGAATGTTTTTAGTGCTTCACTGAGTTTCAGATTGAAGAGCCTCTGAGTGAAAGAGAATGATCAGTTTTCTTGGTGGATGGATCTGTTCTGCTGAGTTGTTTCATTTTACAGCCTTTAGATCTTTAGGGGAGGTCACTGCAACCTCAGAACAGCAACAGATTGACTTAAAGGCGGAGCTCCGATCCAGGAAACATGTGTGAACTGCTGTTTTTTTTTTTTCTGCAGCCGGTGTCTGTCGGAGGTTTGCTGGTCAACCTGGTGGGAATCTGTGCTTTCAGTCACGCTCATTCCCACGGAGGCAAAAGCTGCCCTTCCAGCGATCATGGGCACTCTCATCATGGCCACTCCCACGGCGAGCACAGCCACGGGGGCCACGGGCATTCCCACGGAGGTCACGGCCACTCCCACGGCTCGGGAAGCAGAGGCATGAACGCCAACATGAGAGGTGGGTGTCAGCGTAGCGAGGCCTGCGGCGGTCGGATGGGGATGAGCTCCTGAACTTTTGTTTCTCTTCCAGGTGTTTTCCTCCATGTTCTGGCGGACACTCTGGGCAGCGTCGGAGTGATCATCTCCACCATCCTCATCCGTCAGTTCGGCTGGCTGATCGCCGATCCGATCTGCTCGCTCTTCATCGCCACGCTGATTTTCCTCAGCGTCATCCCTCTGCTGAAGGACGCCTGCGAGGTTCTCCTCCTGAGAACTCCTCCGGAACAAGAGAAGGACCTGAACTGTGCGCTGGAAAAGGTGAGGAGTGGCAGGCCATGATGGTTAGTCCCAATTTGAGTTTGTTTGATCTTAACTTGAAGTTTAAGATATATATATATATTTTTTTATTAAATTATATTAAATTTAAATTTGAGCACAAAAGCACAACTTTAAACATCTTCTCAGCTGGTTATATTTCAGGCTGCTTTCAGACACGTAGCACCAAGGCTCCTTTTTAGCCAGCTTAAGATAGAAGAAGAAATTAGACTTTCCTTTTCCACCACAGCTGTTTTGGTCTCTACAGCTCTTCTCAATTAGACGTCTTTCCATTGGGAATTAGTCAAAACTTACCTTTCTAATGTTCATTAGAACCTTTTCACTGCAGCCCATTTTAGAAAGATGGGAGAAGGAAATAAACTTTCACTCAGAAAGGATTATAGCACAAAAGTTAATTTCTAGGATGTCTTTTTAGCTCATTTCATTGCATTTGATGTTTCGCTGAAACAATTAGGATCATTACCTTGAGTATAGAGAATCTACAAAATGACTTTAGCTGAAAGAGAAAGATGCTCTATCCAGAAGTCCTCAAAGGTGAAAGTTAAATTCCTTTTTTGCCACCTGATTAGTAATTTATTTAATCAAAAAAAGAATATACAAATTAATTGCATTAGTCTGATGCAATAGAACAAGTTTTTATTTATTTATATATATATATATATATATATATATATATATATATTATCAGATGCTTTTTGTAGATATTAGCTTCTTTCCATCATTGATCTCCATTTTGACCCAATGGGGTCCTTATGAGAGAACTATCCTGCCATAATGCAAGAGCACATAATTTC